AGTAAAAAGATAGATGATATGAATAAGCCAGCATTATTGTGAATGGAATGATTCAGAAAAGCGGGTCGAAAGGAGGATGATGTGATGACGATAGATGAGGGAGTTTCTCGTGGGTTCGGCTGGATTGGTGCTGAATGACCACTGCCGCAAGACGAACAGCCGACGAGGACGGGGGCAGGAAAAATGGCAAAAATACGAGTAATACTCATCCCAGGAGTGTCAGAGAGTGCAAAATCGACTGCTATAGGGGGCACTGGATCGGATGGCGGCTGGAGGAGCTGCTCGCCATTCGGATGCTGGCGCTGGTGCTGTGGAGGCGATAGGATGCTTGACGCTGTATTAGCAGCAACTGCACCAGGAGCAGGACTCGTCACTGGGATGGGGCTAGGCGATAGAGCAGTGGACATGACGAGACAGGATGACCAGGCTATGCGTCGTTGTCGTTTTTATCGCCGACGCTGGAGATGTCGTCGCAGGTCGTGGCTAGTGTAGCTTGTTTGGAGGAGTTGGATGGGATCCAAAAGGTGGGCTCGCAAGGGATGCGTAAACAAAGCAACGTGTGATGCTTACGCCGTCAATCGACCTATCCGAGTCGAGAGTGATAATCAACTGCTACAGTCGCTTTTCTGAGCGAGATAAGGAGCAAAGGAGTATATCGTCGCGCTGAGATGGATACAGTTTGGGATAGACTTTGTGTATATATTATGTTGGGGTCCAGGTGAGGCTATTAGTAAACGAGAACTTTTTGAGTGCAGTGCTCAACCGGGACCCCCACAGAAAATTTAACCGCGGCAAAAGAGACGAGCCATCTGCTGCATCACTCATGATTTATCCTAAACCGTCCAGCCAAGCCGCATATCCCCTCGCTCTCCCCATTCCCCCCATTCTTGCTGATTTTTGCACCTTGTGTTTCGTTATTCGGATCCATAACGCCGCCATGGTGCTCCTCCTTCCTTCTCGCATCTCGTCGTCGGCCGTTTGAGAGCAGGCTTATCTTGACATGTCGAACTCTGCTCGTCTAGCCGGCAAGCCGGTGCGGACTTTCCAATTCGAAATCTGCAGCTGGGGCCACACCCGTGCGTGGGGTTGCTGCTGGATGGAGAGTCGGCGCTGGGTCCTTTTTTTCTGCTGCAGTGTGCACAGATATGGCAGGCCAGCCACTGATGAACCTGCTATCGTGTACCTGTGGAAGCTGATCAACCGCATATGCGACAAGTCGCTGTATTGCTAGGCTACGTAACTCTTTCATGTGTCGTCTTCTACTGTCCTACTGTCTCAGGCGTCTCAGTCCCTTGGCATAGCCGCTAGTGTGTTGTGAGTAACCGACCTGCCGAATCGAGACGACCAAGCGATTCTTGGGGGCCCACTTGGGTCATCTTGCAATGCATTGCGTGATCGTTAAATGACCGATTAATGGAGAGATGCTTCTCAATTCCGTCGGTTCCAATGACGAAGATGATAGGTCCTGTTTTGTATAGTGGCTGGAGATCTTGCGGAGATTGGCTTACCCCGTATAGCTGTCACTGTGAATACATTTATCTGATACAAGAGACGATGTATAGACTCACCTGGTTTGCCGTTTAACGATTTCGCGCACCATGCGTACTAGTACTCGCCTTGGTCCCGAGTTTACGACGTGTGCGCCATTCCTCCTTGAACAAGGACACCTTTACCTATCTTTGCTCATGAAACACGATAATCAAACCTTTAGAGATCATTAGTGAGCTTTGAGGTAGGGCCACGCCAACGGACCACCTGCCTCTACTACAAACACACGCATTAGAATTTTGGACCGTACGATGAGCTACTCGTCCTCCCCACCACACTCACCGCGGTCCTCTTCAGAGTCCCTACGTGCTTTAGAACTATCTCAAGGCGCACAACGAGCGCGAAAATCGCCACCACGCGCGACACGACTCGCCTCGTCGTCGACGAATAATGCGAGTGAAGCCGTTCCCTTGACACGCTCGTACGGCCGCGATAGGAGGGGGAGCAATGCGAGCGCGAGCACTATTTTTGGAGGAGGAGCGGGAGGGAATCGTCTTCATCATGCTTCGGGGAGTGTAGGAGGTGGATCAAGTATTTCAGGCAGAGCGAATGGGTTGGGACACGGTGGACGACAGAGGATGATGAGCATCGTCGGCACGCCAACTTCGTTGATGTTTGATTTGACAAATGATGTGATTCCAATCAGTCTGAGTGAGGACACTTCAGCACAAAATCGAGCTCCTGTAGCGAAAACCATTGGGTTGGTAAATGGTAAGTATACGGCCCTTTTTGGAACATTCGCATCATTGATTTGACTGCTTATGATTGGAAAATGCTAATCATTCTTATTTATCGCGTTTATAGGGATCGCACTCGTCGTTGGAAATCAAATAGGATCAGGGATCTTGTGTGTATTCGATTAAGCTATTGAGAGGGATATTTGAGCTGATTTAATGCTCTCATTTTGCATTCCACTATCTTTAGCTCATCCCCCGGAGTTGTACTTGCAGATTCTGGATCCGTAGGCGCCAGTCTGATGGTATGGGTAGTGAGTGGCGTCTTAGCATGGACAGGAGCTAGGCATGTCTTTCATCTCATACAAAAGAAGCACGTCTGATCGTTATGCTAGCTCATTCGCGGAGCTCGGCTCTGCAATTCCATTGAGGTGAAACGACTTCTATTCACCACCAAGTTCAATACTGAGCGTTGTGTCTAGCGGAGGTGCACAAGCATACCTTGCATATGCATATAACCCTATGGTATCCTATCTGTTCTCGTGGACAGCCATTGCTGTATTAAAGCCTGGCTCAAATGCCATTATATCATCCATCCTTGGGTAAGTTCCATTTCGGCTGGCAATCAATCACAAGCTAGAGTTCGCACTCCCAATGCATTGATTGATGGATTTTTTCCCAGCGAATATCTCAACCGCCTCTTCTTCCATGCTACAGCTGCAGATGCTAGTCCAGACAGTATTCCGCAATGGGCCATCAAGCTTACGGCTTGTATCTCTGTGATAATTGTTTCCATACTATGCGTTGCCACACCGAAATTGGCAACACGAGTTGCCGTGTTATTCACGTCTGCCAAGGTGCGCATATACCTACCAAAGGCAAGCCAAATACTAATATTCCTTTTCATAGATCGCCGTTCTGGTATGTAATACAACTTATCCACCTTCTCTCGCTCAAATGAGATGGGTTGATAGATAGCGGTTACTGTGATGGGTATAATCCAATTAAGTCGAGGGAAAGCCTCGACCGCTTTTCGAGAACCACTCTTTGAAGGGACATCTCCCAATCCAAGTGCATTTGCACTGGCATTATTCTCTGGATTATGGGCATATGAGGGATGGGATCAAGGTGAGCTAGCTAGTCCCTTCTGGTCTGAGGGGCGACGTATTCACCTTTATCATAGCAAATTATATCACCGGAGAGATGAAGGATCCTGCCAAGAATATGCCCAGAGTCATTCATTCAAGCATGACGACCGTTACGGTACGGAGCCATTTGTCGGGTCGAAACAAGAGGCTGATCCATTGCTT